AAGCCCATGTTGGATCTCCAGGCATGGGACCATAATATCCGTAAGGAGGTGTCATAAAACCCTGCGGCGGTGACATCTGAATCTGTTGCGGTGGCATCTGAAATGACTGCGGTAGCGTTTGAACCGGCTGCGGTTGTATATAAAATACTTTTGGAATATAAATCGGTGTAGACGATGGATGCTATGATGGTTTTGGTGCTGCAATTGAGGATGAACCAGAAGCGCCTGCTATGCGTCTACGAGTCGGGCGACGATGATGCTGTGACGGTGGACGATTTTTTTGACCTCGATAATGCTCCCGCCTCGTGCTTCCTTGGAAAGTATGAACGACTTCGTTCATGTTGAACCTCTGATAATAGTCATTCGTAACCAAATAATGATCCACATAAATCAACTCCCTACGGGGAATACGTCCACGTCGATCCTCCCATATCATTACCCACTCGCTGTGCTTCATCAGTCAGTTGATTTATTTTTTGCCCAGTCTATCGATGCTATGCAAATTGTCGAGATTCATAGGTGCTTCAGGAATATATTATATGAAACCAAATTGGCGGAGCACACGATCAGTGGGATGTCACTCAACAATACCATAACATATTAGGGGGCAACCACCATCTATACATCTAATGGGCCACTCAAATGAGGTGTTATGCAATGCCTCATTTCTTCAATAGCATAAGAATTCCATTGAAACTAAAAGAAATATATATATTTCTTATCAAAATAATATTTTAATTATATAATGATAATTACAGATAAGTAATAAAATTTAAATACATACCCATGTACTAGTCTTTTAATCAATAAGTTGCTGAATTTCTTCTAATTTGTCTGGAATATCACGATGATCTTTCCTTATACATGACCACATATTCAGTGTAAAAAAATCATTATATATTAAAAAACTATTTATATACGAAACTCAGTATTAAAGTTACTTCAACAATAACGGTAAGACTAATTGATTTTTTCACGATCAGACATAAATAAGGCATGCGATACCACACCCATGACTGCAGAAGAATGAGACATCCGTCGATCGTATTTTTCTATAATCAATTACTCGGTACATTTCTCTATACAGAGATGCCAAAACAGCATAGCCGCAACTGAATGAGCCGACAACTCAAAAATTTGCGAGGTGACGCAACCACATACAATAAACTTGATTACGAGATTTAACGGGCATCAGAATTCCTCCTATGAGTCGTAATATGCAAGCTCAGACAAATATTTTAGCATGTTCCTCAGAACAGTCACTCAACTGTAAAAAATTTATAGCCAACCTTGATAATGATATTCGACCACTATTGAATTTGGGCAGGATACCTCCAAGATATTCCTCGCACGCCGAATGCTAATCACTATCCGCCACACCAAAAATGACATCCCCATCTACAGGAAACTACAAATGTAAAGAAATATCCTCCAACGTAATATTGCACTCCCCACAGAGAAGATGAAATGTGTGTGTCTCTAGTCTCCACTCAACCAGTGCATAAATAAGGTTTGATTCAAGGTTACAATGCCATTCATATCTAGTTATGTAACTGAATCCACCATCGACTAAATTCGGACAATCACAATTCGGTATCTCTAACTTAGCATTACGAATAAATATATATATTATACGATCATTCCCCTAATTAAATAAATAATATACAAATTAAAATATAAACTAATACTAAAAAAATAAAACATTCAAAATAATTAACATAACACAATTTAAAATTGTTAATATATCGATAAAAATAACTCCAGGTATGATTCATATCTAAATGCAATAACCCACCTTCCATTTTATAACTGCAAAACATAAAAAATAAGCACAATAAAATATAATAAAATAATACACTATTTAATGGTTATAATATAATAAAATAATTTTACCTACTAAAAATAATAACATAATCCAATTTAAGCTTGTTAGAATGAATGATAAAAGTAAGAAGGAGAATGTTTTTTTTGTGTGGTTTGATAGTTGTATAAGGTGATATTTATAGGGGAGGAGTAGGTGGCAATTAAGAGAGAGTGACGGATGGTTAGGGGTTATTATAGAAGACGCGGATGGTGATACGCGCCTTTCACTTCGTGTTAATTTTCCCTGTGAAAGCGCGGATGGTGATCCGCGCTTTGCCTGCGTGGCATTAGCTCGGAACCCAGGAAGACGCATTTGATAATCCGTGCCTTCCGTCCATGTAAGTAAATGAGTGTTAGATCGATAAAATTTGGTCAATGGGTGTCTTCCAGATAATTATTGATTATTCGAGTAATTTTTAGGTAAAAATGCCTTTAGAATCTAGCTTTCATGACTCCGATAGATCTCCTTTTCACCTGCACTCGGCATTTATATGTTATATGTATTATACTACTTTGGTTTTCATTAAACATGTGTGGTTTTTTTATTTAAAAAATTAATTATTAAAATATATCACAAATTTAATTATTTTCATAATTTATTATTTTGTAATATAACTTAAAATCACATTTTAAGATATTTTTACATGTTTCAGTTAAATTTATCAATTTTATGGCATTAGTAAAAATATTCTTTATAATCTAAGTGATCAAAATAACCACAAATATAAATAATTTAGCTATTATATAATTAGTTAAAAATATAATTTTATTTTAATCACTTAAAAAGTTAATTTGATTGTTTAATTTTTATCTCATTGTCACCCTTATCGTATTTTCGCATTAATTTAGTCATTAAAATTGTTTAATTATATCATTCTATACCTTACCTCTAATTTAAAATCCTAATATATGGTTTAGGGTTAAGGTTTGTGGTTTAGAGATTATATAGTTATGGTTTAGGGTTTAAATTAGAGGTTGAGTATATAATGATGCAATTGAGTAACTCCGGTAACTAAATTGATGCGAAAATACGTTAAAAATGAAAATGATAATTTAGATTTACTATAGTGGTAAAAGTTACCCTTTTGCCGATAATAAATCAAAATTAACAAGGTAACACTACAAATGCTTTTTGATGATTTGAAAATCATGTGATTTATATTTAATTTTCTCTGTTTTTAAGGTTTAAGAGTTACTTTTACCCCTATAGTGAATCAAATTTATTACTTTCATTCTTATAATTTTTTCGTATTAATTTAGCCATCAAAATCCTTTAGGGACATCATCTTAGCCCTCGAAATCTATTTTAACTAACAAAATCATTAGTCTTACATTCTTATATAATTCAATAATGTTCATGTCAGTCAATATAACTAACGTGACTTGATGATGATGTGATATTTATTAAATAATATAATAAAATATTTACTGAATATAATGGTTAAAACCCTCTAAAATTTTGACTTAATCTCTTAATCTCACTAAAATAAATAATAAAATTTTGGAAATGTTTTCTAATAATTGTGTTTAGTAAATATTTTAACATAATCTCTTAATCCACATACTCACAAGACTCGCAATTCTGTTAGTCAAAACGATTAACGAAATTCGAGGACTAGGTTGATAGCGCCTTAAACAACTTTAAATGCTAAATTGATAAAATATATAAATAAAGACGAAAATAATAAAATAATATACTAAAAGAACAAAAATAACCCTTAAACTTTTCTTTTATTTCATTTTTACCAACAAAAACTTGACTTTTATAATTTTATCTTCATGTCAACTTATGTTTATTAATTTTACTGTTAGAGGGATCACACCATTGTAATAGAATAAGAATCTAACCTTATCGTTGGAATATCAATTTCATTTTCATGGAATAATAGTCTTCTGTCGTTTGGTATACTATATTCATTAATTTTACTAGTAGATAACCCAAGCATCAAGTAATATTAACAAAACGTCGAAATCAGAGGATCATATTCACGTGTAATCTTTTATATTATGGATATTTAATTTTTTAAAGTTTCTTTAATTGCTTTCCTAACACTATCTTTTGATAAAATATCAAATTATACGGCCGAAAGATTAATGGGCTGCACATTACCATCCTTCTCATTGAAGTTCCCGTACTGCTACTATGTCAATATACATACAATTTTTTTTTAAAAAAAGGCATACGTAACATAATAGTAAAATATTAAATATCATTGTATTATTTATTTGGTATGATATTAAAAAATTAATAACGTTTGATTAAATAATTATATTGGTCTATTTAAAAATAATAATTAATTTAACTTTGATTTTTTTGAGTTTTTTGACCCGCAATGTCGTATTTTAGAGTTTCAGAATGCTTTAGAAAAAATGATCAAAGTGACTATTTAAATAAACTATAGAAATTTTTTTACTCTAAAATGAGACATTGAGAGAGAAAATCTCCAAATAAGAATAAGGCCTAAAACGATAATTTTAATAAACATTGAGAGTTAAATTTGACATTATACCTATTTATTTTCCATTTGTACGAACCAATAGGCATGGTGCTGCTTTAGAAAAGCCCAGGCCCAGGCCCAGGCTTCGAACCCTTGATAAGTTGACATGAGATGTCATGTCACATCCTCTCTGTCGTTCCAATAAATTGACGTTGTGCGGATTCCGTTTTTATTTAGCGAATGGATAACTATTCTACATGTTTAATTAATTAAATATACAAAGGGTTGTCGTATCGTTCTTATATAATTATATATTATAAATAATTAGAAAAATGTAATTATATGAACCATAGATAAATCAAGTTGATACAATTTGACTGAAATAATGAATTTATAATGGATAGTATTTTATGATTTATTGGTGACATTATAATAAGTCCAAGGAGAATATCCATCATAGACTCTTTAAAACTAGGAAAGAGATTAGAGAAAGATTCCAGGGAGATGAAACTAGAAAAACTAGTCGTAGTGGGTTTGGTCACATCCAAGCACATTGGGATTTTATAAAATAAAGAATGACAAGGACGTGCATAAATTAATAAAAAAGCGAATGACGTATAGTTGTCATTATTAGTAATTTTAATAATCGGGGGTGATATAAACAAAGCAAGGCAAGCAATAGCATCGTTAGAATCCATGTAGATTTGTGCTGGTGCGCCACTCATCATGCTTCACTGCTTTAACGTTATCTTCCTTTTCCTTTTGTTTTCCCCCAAATTCATCACTTTGTAATCTATAAAAGGACGGACGGTCGGAGGAGGAGAATCACTCAGAGACACAGGCTCATGGGCGCCGCGGCAAGCTGGATTCATCATGCGGTTATTTGCCAATACGTTCATCTCTGATCCTTGAAGCAAAAATATTTTATCCAACGTTGTGGAATCTTAACCGAACAATTTGTTAGTGTTTTTTTTGTGTGTGGACCATATGCTTTTTACCACATCTTTTTGTAATGGGGGATACGGAGAGTTGCAGTAGTAGAGCGGCGGATTTCGCCCCGAGTCAGAGACGAAACCAGAGGCAAAAGATTGAAGTGTATAACGAAGTTCTTTGTCGACTTAGGGACTTGAATATTGAGGAGTCAACCTTCCCTGCTTTTGAAGATGAACTTTGGGCTCATTTCTCTATACTTCCCACGAGGTAACCAACGCCGAGTCCGGTCTTGTGCTTATCCTCGTTTCTTTCTCTCTCGCTTATTATTCGTTGAATTTGATTTGTTGAGTGAGTTTCAAATTTTCATAATATATTGTTTTGTTCGGATACAAAGTAAAGGAGAAGCTGAATCTAACAAATTAACTATACGGAATTACGGACTCACATTCCAAAAAGAAAACTATACGGGCTTGACTTATAATCATCAGCGAGGTTTCGTTTAGAGAAGAGACTGTAATTTAACAGAGTTGCTTGACTTTTAATTTTTTGTTCCTTGTTTTTTCGTTGTTAATTTCTTAGCTCACAAATTGAGCGTCAACAATACCATGCTTTTCCCTTTATTTTGTCAAGAAAGAGTAGTTAACTATAATTTTCATTCACTGGCTCTTTTGGTGTTGATTTAATTAGTTAAAGATGCACTTCATTTGTTTTATTTAGGTATGCGTTTGATGTAAATGTGGAGAGGGCAGAGGATGTTCTTATGCACAAAAGATTACTTTTGAAGGCACGCCATCCTGCTAGCAGACCTGCAATCGAAGTTCGACTTGTGCAAGTAGTTTTGCGGGATCTTCTTATTTATATTTCAGATGAAGCTTTACCCTTTTTTTATTTAGTGATATTTGATGCTTGTTGATGAAAGAGTTGTCCAATTCTTTTATGTAAATGTGGAGAAGCTTTACCGTTTTATTTAGAGAAGGGACTTATAATAATTTGCTCAGCCATTTTCATCTTTTCAAATGTTTCTCTTATACAGGTTCGTTCTGCTTCAGATATAAACCAGGTTGAATCGGTGCATATGAAGTTTGCAAGAAAAGCTGATGTTCAGTTTTCAGATTATCCCAACAAAAAGAGGCATGGTTATGTAAACATCTTTTTGGTCTTCTCTCTTTTTAAGGAATCAAAGTTCTGGTAATTTCTAATGTCCTCAATGCTTTTGTTTCTCTTCTTACTTTCCCCTCTATTTTAGGGTTCATCCGCCACCTGCCTTTGGTACATCGTCAGATCTTGAGCTTATGCATGAAGCTAAAAGAGTGACTAAAGATATAGAAAATATACTTAATGCCAAACCAATTCGCTTTCGGTAAATACTTCTTAAGCAGCTCTCCCCTGCTGGTTGGTATTTTTCGTATTTGTTTGTGATCTGCATTAAACTGTTTTCAACATCTTGGTCTGTAAACTTACTAGCTATGCGGAAAACTCTGTACACTGATTCTCCGTTCTTTAGGATAATTGGTGTTGTATGCTTTCTTGTCAACAATGTCATTTATGTTTCCTAACTAATATTATAACTTATTTTGGATTCTCACTTGTGAACGAAAGTTATACGACTTTTAAAGTAAGTCTTTCTATTTATTCTGGAAGTCTGTATTTGAGTGTTTGTGAAACAATTTTTCTAATTCATTTGTTAGGTTGATGCATGAGATAACTATTTCAACAAATGACAAACCAAAACTTCTAACACAGGTAGTCGCTGTCTCCTACTTTTTCTAGTTGTATTAACATTTTTAGGAAACAATATCTGGTCAGTAGCTATTTTACAATTTATTATTTTAAGATATTTCATGTTGAAATTTCAGTTGACTTCTTTATTATCTGAACTTGGGCTGAACATACAAGAAGCACATGCTTTTTCCACAACAGATGGTTATTCCTTGGATGTGTTTGTTGTTGATGGTTGGGCCCTTGAGGTATTTAATCCTTTCTTCTTTCCTGATATTATGCCACACCAAGTCATTATCACTTGGGAAGAGCATCACAGAGTTACTGATGGTGTTAATAAAATGTGCATCACAGCATCAGCCTTTTAACCTGCATATTTATGGCACTATGGTTGATTTCTGTCTCTCTTGTTTATATTAGTCTTGAAGTAGTAGTATATATGTGTGTGTGTCTGTGTATCTATATGTATATATATATATATCTTATGTCTTGCCCAATTAGACATTTGCTTTTCTAAATTGTGTGCCTCTCCACCTATTACTCACTGTGATTGACATACTTTTATATTTATGGTTTGTAGGATACCGAGCAACTCAGAAATGTATTGATAAAGGAGATATCCAAAGTTGAGGTATGCTGAGCTGCTATTCTATCTTTAACTACTATAATTCATTATTTTGATGTCACTTTCATACTAATGGTAGAAAAGGAGGGTCTGTTTGTCACCTTTTACGTTTACTTTTAATTTTTAAGGTATGTTGCTTCTAATGGTTATATTTCAACCCAAGAAATTTAGCTGACCAGATTCTAAATTTGTATTATATCTGAAGTGAGTATTCTCTCCACTCCATCCACCAAATAAAGAAAAACACCTGAAGTGAGCGTGGAAAATATTTTATTTTGTACTGACGTTTATCTTACGACATTGATGATGATTTTGATTGATAATGAAAAATTAACTGTGTTTTCGTTTTTTGGTACTAAAAAATTTGGTGTGCATCTAGGTGCAGTATGCGTATGTATTGTTTTGTGCATTAAATGTTTGGTGATATAATATCATTCTCTTTCGGAGGATATGTCCTAATTATCTGGGAAATTTTAACAATAGAGTTTGCTCCTTTTTTATTATCCTTTTCTTTTGCTCCTGCCTCTGCTTCTTTTCTCTTGTCATTCCAACATATGTATTATCTTGTTAAAAGAAGTGGATAATCATTATCAAGCAAAACATTGAAATACCTAGTTTTTATGATTTTCTAGCCATGCATTGGCCTCTCATAGTTTCAATTGCTTTGCAGAAGCTTTCCAATTTAAAGTCTCATGCCATATATCATGTTAGGGAGCTAGAGCAGACTGGAAATAAACTTAACTCCAATCATGTAAACATACATGGTATTGGAAATGATGTTCGGGAAATTGACACTAGCCTGTTGAAGTATGAAAGTAAACTGGCTTCCTGCTCTTATGGTGATCTGTGAGTTCTTTATCCTTAATGTCATCCTCTGTTTGTGCATGATACTTGTAAATCATATTGTGGTGCATGCAGGTATAAAGGTACTTTCTGTGGTCAAGATGTTGCTATCAAAGTTCTTAGGACTGAGCATCAAAATGAGAACCTACGAAAGGAATTTACTCAAGAAGTTAATATCATGAGGTATGTTTAATCGTTGTAGTTATTGCAGGCATTCTTCATCTACTTTTCCTTTTCCTTAATATTCCCTATTGATGATGAGCTAATTAAATTTCCTTTTGATTCTTTAAGAAACTACCATCTGCACCCTACAATCATGAAATTTGTTTTTGCTTCTTTGGAATTTATAGGAAAATTAGGCACAATAATGTTGTTCAATTTATCGGTGCATGTACCAGCCCTCCTAGCTTGTGCATTGTGACAGGTTTGTTTTATGCTACTCTCTATTTAGACTTAGTTGCTGACTAGACGTAATTTCATTGTCTTTCCAAGTTCATTTTCAATTTCAATTATATATCTTTTTTTTTTCAGAGTTTATGTCTGGTGGAAGCATTTATGATCTTCTACATAAACAAAAATCTGGTTTTAAGCTTCCATTCTTGCTCAAAGTAGCAATTGAGGTTTCAAAGGGAATGAGCTACTTGCACCAAAGCAGTATAATGCATAGGGATTTGAAAGCTGCCAATCTTTTGATGGATGCAAATGGAGTAAGAGATGCACTTGTTTATGTTATTTACTGATAAATTCGTTGCTAATCAAAATTTGAAAGCTGCCAATCAAAATAGTATAATGCATAATATTAATTATTTTAATATATAAAATTTATTATTAGATGATCTTTTCAATTGAGAAAAGTTAATTTCATAAAGACTTTTTTAAAAGAAAAGTTAAAAATGAGGGGGTATTTTATTAATTTAATGAGAAAATCGATAATTAAAGTTGAAACAACTAATTTATTAAATTATCAAAAGTAAATGTGTCGTTTACTATTTGCATTGCACCTTTGAATTTGTTATTTTTATATATAGTATTGATAGCTGACAATTTTTGTTTATAACGAATGGCACCTTGAGGATTAAGATTTGAGAAGAATTTTAACCGGTTGTATGTTATTTCTTATTATTATGGGTTATTATTGGTACACTACCAGTTGAAAGAAAAAAAAATCCACAAGTAGGGTTGGGATGATGACATGTGTCCCTCAAAAATATAAAAAATAATGAATAGAACATGTCTTCTCTCAACCATGCTTGTACTATTTTTTCTTTCCACTGGGGATGTGCTTGATAATAATCCTATTATTAGTATTAGTATTTTTGGGAAGGGGGAGGCTGGTTCTTTTTCCCAATGTGCAAGGCACCTGATGGATTTGAAATTTCTGTATGTGCTACTAGGCGTTTGGTCAGTGACCATATTCTGATTTGGTGTCTTAGTATCTGCTATTTATTTGGTATTAGCGCTCAAACTCGATCAACGTATTAAACTAGGAAAGATTTTTTTTCTTAAAAGAAATTTAATTTCTTATGGAGGTGAGGAGTTAGATGCTTATAACATGAAGTATGGCCATTTTTGGTCTATTTGTTTGCATTCAGATTATGTATGCTCAATATATACCCAATGACTTGCCCTTGATTTCAATCTTCCCTTACACCCCTAATGATCCGTGTCACAGGTTGTCAAGGTAGCTGATTTTGGTGTCGCTAGGGTAGCTCAGCCAGGTGTGATGACTGCAGAAACTGGAACATATCGTTGGATGGCTCCAGAGGTTGGTATTCTTGTATATTTCATTCTTTCCTGGATATTTAACATTTTGGTTGCTTTGTAAAAATGAATGCTTGCAACACATATCGTTGGATGGCTCCATAACAAATCAAGTTTTTTAAAGCCAGTTCTAGCATGCAATCCACGGGATGCTTGCCCTTACGGGCCTTTGTAAAATCATTTAATGGCCACTAAGGGCAGTCTAAATTGCTTTTCAGTGAATGCTTGAATAGGTGAAGGATTTAAGGGATTGTTTGCTGTGGTGAAAATTGAAGGTCAGCAACGGTTATGCTGCATTTACCAGAGCATGAATTGAGATTGTAAGAGGTGACGGTCTAATTAACAAAAAGTGAACCTGAGTAGAACTAGGAGGAAGGTTTTGATCGAGTTATTTTTTGTTGGTGCATAGCTTTAATGAGTTAAACCAAGCTGAGAATTATTTTGGTTGATGACCTTACAGATTTTCTACTCCTTTCTGGATAAAGGGTGTGGATTTTATGTTTCTTGTTTCGGTTTCCAGTCCTTAATCTCGTTTACAAGTATAGCATAAGCAAACCTTGAAACTTGGAGTTGATTATTCATTCAGTACTACAAATAGGAGTTGCATATCTTATTCAGCTTTCTTTTAACTATGACTATTTCAAGCACACACCTATAAAGGGTGTGGATTTTATGTTTCTTGTTTCGGTTTCCAGTCCTTAATCTCGTTTACAAGTATAGCATAAGCAAACCTTGAAACTTGGAGTTGATTATTCATTCAGTACTACAAATAGGAGTTGCATATCGTATTCAGCTTTCTTTTAACTATGACTATTTCAAGCACACACCTATAAATTTATGAGATGACCTTTTTGTTGACATTCCGGACCATGACTGTATTGATGATTTACATTATTTGCCTTAGCAGTTTTTCCTGCTCTCTGACATATTATCTGCTCTTGGTCCATGGAAGGTGATTGAGCACAAACCATATGATCACAAAGCTGATGTTTTCAGCTTCGGAGTTGTTCTATGGGAACTGCTTACTGGAAAGGTAATTTTTTGGCAATATTTTGGCTATAAAGAAAGCAACTCTTTTCATCATATTTTTTTTCTCTCTCTCTTCACTGAAGTTTACTTGATCTTTATGTTAAGGTTTATTTTGATTTATCTTTTCTTGTCGTAGTTTATGTATGTACAGACGAAAACATCTAACTTTTGTAATTGATGCCAGCTTCCATACGAGAATTTAACACCCTTACAAGCAGCAGTGGGCGTAGTCCAGAAGGTATTCTTTTAAAAGATAGAGCGAGCATAACTCTCTTGTTTGAGTGACATGCATATCCATGTGTGTATGATGTATATATCCCTTCATTCACATGCATGAAGTATTAGGAAAATTCAGTGTTATTGTCTTTTAGGGTTTTTGGTAATTGTTTCACTACAAGATTTCCGGTTCATAACTACCCAGCAACATAATAGAGTTGAACCGACAGAGAGCTTTCCCTGTCTGAATTTCAGGGTCTAAGGCCTGTTATTCCTAAACATACTCACCCAAAATTTGTGGAGCTGCTGGAAAGATGCTGGCAACAGGATCCATCTCTGAGACCTGAATTCTCTGAAATTTCATATATTTTGGAAGACATAGCCAGTAGATAGAGGAAAGCTGTGAGAAATCATCCTTTGCTTGCTTCTTTTCGTTAAGAAATGTCAGATAACCTTGACAAGGGTTGCAGACGTGAAAAATGGGAGGAGAGTGGCTTGTAATATGCATGCTATTTTGTTTTTTTTTCTTTTCTTTCCACGTGTGGACTTAAACGCAATATTTTCAAAGTAATAAACACCAAAGCTAACGTGGCAGTCTAGTATACAATCTGTGAGTATATTCTCTCTCTAGAATTTGCACTTAAAGGAGGAGATGCCTTTGCTCGATAATCATCTACTGCACTTCATGAATGAAATGGATATTTGGCAGTTTGGCTACCTTGCAGGAGAATTATTCCAATTTGCAGATTGAATTTGCTGTTTCATAATCTATTCTTAAGCTCCGGCTATGGATTCTCCATTGTGATGGTTGTTAAATCATTTTGAGTGATTAAAGAGTGATCACACTTATTAGAGGAAGACCATAAACACGTACGTGGCAGCTTGTTGCTCAACCTCCATTGACTCTATCTGAAAAAAGCTTTGTCAACAGAGAATATATGCAATAGAGCGATATAAAGATCTTTCCAGATAACTGATTCGCTCTATTAGGCCTTAATCAACCATTCTTTAAACCGGACGTGTAAGGTTTGATATCAAACAATTTAAATTTTATTTTGATTAGAAAAATGATTTTTTTCATGGTTTTGGTACAAGTAAAACTTTTAAAAATTTATATATGCAGGTATTAAAAAGCTAAAAAATAAACAATAACTTTATATATGAAAACTAATCCAAGTGGCAGCCTCTTAATTCTCGAAGGAAACAACGGTGGAGAGTTTCATTTTTACACGGAATCCGAGTGACAGAGTCAAAATTAAATATTGATGAGGGTTGAAATATTATATTATTTAATAAAAATATGAAGATTTATTAGGTATTTAAATTCAAAATTCAGCATGAATAAACAATCTTTGTGATTAAGGGGATTATTATTATCCTTGAGATCTTCAGTTCAAGCACTGCCTATATAGGGGTATGAGCGTTCATTGTCAAATAGTTGAAATTCTTTGTACATATACTATCTTGTATTCACCTTAAATTTATAATAAAAAAACTCAAAATTCACAAGACAACTTCTAATTTGTCTAATATTTAAACTTACAATGACCTAAATTGTAATTAGACTAAAAATTTGAGAACCCGTACTTATCATTCTTTAGTTCGACCACTACTTGATTAAATATTTAATAAATTTTTAGTTTTTTTAAATTTAAATATTTATTTTCATAAGGTTCTTAACCTTGAGGTCATGGGATCGAGTCCCACGGAGGACATTTCATAATTCGGAGGTCTTCTACGGAAGTTGCTCTCAACCTGGTGTTGGGGACAGCCTACTATCTTACCTCCCCCTTACCCCATTACATATGGGAACAAGGGACAACCATATATATATTTTCATAAGAACCAAAATACTATTAAACCAAAATTATATTGAATATACAAATTTTAACAGTCGCTTGGGCCCTAAGGAGCTCGGTCCCTGCGGAACCCTAAGTACCACATGAAAATAATCTGCATGATAATTTCTGCCTGGACATTGGAATTTATGCTACATGCAAACGAAGAAAAAAAAGAGGAAAAAACTCCATCACCATAAGATGCTCTAGGAACTTTTCTAGTCACATGACTCATGACAAGTGTGTTTTCACAAATGCAATTTTGGCTTGGCTCCGTCGTCCACAGTGCTCGAATATTTTTCCAGGAAAAAAAAAAATCTCCTACTGTCTGTCCCGCCATTTAAAAGGTGCATTGAATGGTCATCAATAGTACTTCATACTAACAAGTTGAAGATTAACTTCCTAAAATGGATCCATTGAGAAAGTCTTTGAAATCATACTGTTCTAATGCAAAACAACAGGGCCCTGAAGAGCAACCCCTCCTGATTCACTCCAACGACAGTGAGACGGCAGAGTCGGTTGATGCTTGCGAGCAGAGCCAAGGAGATGTAGTTGTCAACATAGACAGTAACTATGCCAAAGAAAATGGGAACACCTCAAAGGTTCGACAACCTTCAGGTTCATCGAAGAAATCCAAAGTTTCATTTCACGAAGTGCTGACCGAAGCTGCGCGGCAGAAGGGCAAGGACTTGCCAGGCCAAAGTGAAGCACGCCAATGGTCCTTCAGTTCTAGGGCAGGGCAGTTTTCGAGGTGTGGTTCAAAAGATTTTCTTCGGCAGAACTCATGGAGGCAACTGGTGAACAAAACCAAGTCCAGGTTACTCGACCCAGTTGAGCACCGATACGGAAGGAGCTACTCCGAAGAAGAAGAGTTCAACGAAAATAACCATGACGAGGAAGACAATCCAGATGAATACAAGGCACTGAAATTCAGTGCATTGACGATACTTCAGTGGTTAAGTCTGGTTCTACTTATAGCAGCCTTAGTTTGTAGCGTCCTCATCCCTGGTCTCAAAAGACTAAGGCTCTGGGATCTTCATTTATGGAAATGGGAGATCATGGTCTTGGCATTAATCTGTGGGCGACTTGTTTCGGGTTGGGGAATTCGGCTAGTTGTGATCTTTATCGAGCGCAATTTTCTTCTGCGGAAACGAGTTCTGTATTTCGTTTACGGATTGAGGAGGCCTGTTCAGAATAGCCTCTGGTTGGGTCTGGTATTGCTTGTGTGGAACTGGATATTTGATGACAAAGTCCAGAACGAGACCAACAGCAAGGTTTTACCCTACGTGACAAAGATTATCATATGTTTCTTGGTGGCTACATTGATATGGCTCGTCAAAACTCTTCTTGTTAAGGTCCTCGCTTCATCATTCCATGTAAACACCTTCTTCGACAGAATCCAGGAAGCTCTTTTCAATCAACATGTCATTGAGATGCTCTCTGGTCCACCCTTGTTCGATATAAATAGCGCCGAACCAGAGGAAGAGGATAATGTAACCGAGAACGACGAGTCACAGGCAGAAGTAGGAAGTGGGAAACAACAAAAAAGCAGTGTAGTTGAGAATGGTCCAAGAACTCAGGAGAATATCTAAGAGGAAAGATGATGATATCCAACTCGACCACCTTCGTAATCTGAATCAGAAGAATATATCAGCTTGGAATATGAGGAGGATGATTAATATGGTCAGCCGCGGACACTTGACTACCCTGGATGAGCAGATACTCAACTCTGAGAAAGATGATGAATCTTCAGTGCATATTACAAGTGAATGCCAAGCAAACGAAGCATCTAAGAAGATTTTCCAGAGTGTTGCTAAGCCAGATTCCCAGTAAAATTCTCTTTCCCCTGCCTCAAACTGTAAACTATTGATGTTCAATGATGTTGTCATGCTAATTAGCTTAATTGAAATGAATCTCCTATCAGATACATTTACCTTACAGACATTATGCGGTTTATGGATCGAGACGAAGCTTTGAAAGCATTGAATCTCTTAGGAGCAGGAACGGAAGAAGAAGGAATCAGCAAGGCATCACTCAACAATTGGCTGGTAATTAGAGTATAATTCATATTTTGTCTTGATTTGTTTAGAAGCACACTAAAACACTTTTTTCCCTCTTCAAGGTGAATGCCTTCAGAGATCGAAAAGCACTCACACTGTCCCTAAATGATACAAAAACTGCCGTGGATGAACTCCATAACATGTTGAACATCGTAGTAGCCATTATCGTTGTCATAATCTGGCTCATGATACTCGGTATCCCTGTTGCCCACTTCCTCGTTTTCATAAGCTCAGCTTCTGTTGGTGATGTTCATCTTTGGGAATACATGCAAGACAGTGTTTGAAGCCATAATCTTTTTATTTATAATGCATCCATTCGATGTCGGAGATCGCTGCGAGGTGGATGGAATGCAGGTAACTTGCTTCCTTTTCCTTTGTTTCCAGTGTCAATCCGTTGATCACTACTATTCACAAACATTTGTTGTGTTGAGCCTCAGATGATAGTTGAGGAAATGAATATATTAACCACAGTGTTCTTAAGGCATGACCGCCAAAAGCTCGTATATCCGAACAGCGTATTGTCTACCAAGCCGATCGGCAACTTCTACCGAAGTCCAGACATGGTCGAAACAATCGAATTTTGCATCCACGTTTCAACTCCATCAGAGAAGATGTCCATCATGAAAGAAAGAATTACAGGGTAAGAAAAACCTTTTAAGATTTATCTTCTCTGTCATTGTGAAACAAAGTGTATGTATGAATTTGAGGTTTGCAAGCAGGTATATCGAGAGTAGGGAGCACCACTGGCATGGTAACCCGCTGGTGGTTGTGACGGACGTAGAAGAGATGAACAAACTGAAGATATATGTGGCGTCGAAGCACAGAATGAACTACCAAAACATGTCGGAGAGATGGATTAGGAGAGGGCATTTACTTGAAGAAATGATTAAGATACTTAAAGAGCTTGACATTGAATATAGGTTGCTGCCTATGGATGTGAATGTGAGAAATATGCCGACTTTGGTCTCACATAGGCTGCCTTCAAACTGGAGTGCTTGTGTGAACTAAGTTTATTCCTCATGTAGAAGATTGAATAATGTCTGGAAAGGCTGTTAAACTCGAGGAGTTACGAGTGAGCACTTGCCTCAGTATCTGTTTCTAGATAGTATGGTCTTTGTCTGTGAATCTATAAAAGTTTGTCCGTGACTAAATGACAAGTTCATTCTTACTCGTGGGCTTAATTTCTTCATTTCGGATTTGGTAAAAAAAAAAAACAAGTGACGACACCAATTCCTTAATCCATGGGTTATTTTGGAGCCCATAACACTAATTTTATCAAAATCATATTGACCAGACATTTAAAATTGTGCAGGATAATTTTCTCTGCAGCCGATAGGACATTTTGACTTGAGATTCATACAATGCTTCACTGCAATCCATTGTGTGTAGGATTATCCAAGCCTACTAGGCCATATAAAATCTATTTTGGGCCCAAGTCTGACAATGTAGTAAACATTGCGAAGTAAAAACATTTAAACTAATAATTGCAGGGCTTTACCCCGAAGGGAGCCCTTCCAGAAATTCTCGAAGGCCGGGGACAAGCCCAGGCCTAAGAGGG